GAGTCGATTGCAAAAAGGCTTGAAGTGTGGGATGAGAAGGCAGACAGATTTGTGAGATAACCTTTGGTGTTTTATGGATTTTGATTTTATTATTCAAAGTCAATAAATGAAAGAATACACCAACATGGCAATGTGTAGAGATGGAGAATCATGCATATCCAGGCATGAACACACATTGTATGAGGCCCCAATTATTACTAATATCTCTTGAAAGTCATGGAGTGTTCCGTGAGTCATAAATGGGTCACAAGACAAACAGGCAAGGGAGAAACAAGGTAATGGAATTCTTGTTTTGAGTTACTGGTAAATTTGGTATTCCTCTATTTAAGAGAAAAAAATTATAGTACAAAATAATAAATGACTAAATTTAATTGTAGTTGCATAATCAAATTTGAACGATATGCAGTGATGTAAAGAATATGTCGATATCTTATTATTCCATGCATAATTAGTCCTAGTCCTCAGAGTGAGTGCATTTAACATCTCGACATGGCCGTGATCTCTCTGAGTGACAACCAAAGCACTTGTCTTGGTATGAGTGGCTTATTTAAGAGTTATTCACTGTATTTTTTTAAGAAATGCATTTATTATGAGACATTAACTATAGGCCATTATGGGATTAATATGAAATTTGTATTCTTTAATCAATATTTATAATACTGAGATTGACTAAAGAAAAATATTTGGCTGAGATTAATTGCTCTTTTGATAGTACTTACAGATACTTAGGCCTGTTATTCATTTGGAATTATTGGCATCAATATGTTGGAAATGAACAAATCAATGAATGAAGAAATGGATGAAGAAAAGAGGGTAAAATCTTCCCCAGTCATCATGTCTCTTGTCCGATAGGTCACGAATGATGAATAATTCACCTCAGAGTCTCTTATTTGTGCCCGGAGAGTGAGCTGCCCAATTATCTTTGTTGCAAGTATTCTCCACGCATTAGCTGTACACAAAGGTTCCATCCCTAGAGTTCTGTGGCTCATTTATTTTGATTCTGTTATTACAAAAAATGACAAAATTCACACTTATTACATAAAGATGGGAAAAGGAGCAAGCATTGTCCAGTTTTGGAGTGAGGGCAGAAATAGTTTCAGGTAATTTCATTGGAAGTACTAATGTTTATCAGCCAGCAAATGAATCTAGAAAGTTACCTCTCCACAATTCCCCCAAGCTGTTGTTGTCTCTCACTGATTGCATGATGATTAGGTAAACTAAGTGAGAGCCTCTTACCTCTTTGTCTAATGACGTCAGACAGTACAGATTTTAGACAACCTTGAAGTCCTTAGTCTGCTCCAAGTCCGGTATTACTCCTCTTCTTAAGAGATAATGAGCTGGTTGCTGGTGGCTCACACCTGTAATCCTAACTACTCAGGACACTGAAATCTGAGGATTGGGGTTCAAAGCCAGCCCGGGGAGAATGTCCATGAGACTCTTATCTAAATAAATCACCGAAAACTGGAAGTGGTGGCTCAAGTGGCAGAGTGCTTGCCTTGAGCTGAATTGCTGAGGGACAGCGCCCAGGCCCAGAGTTGAAGCACCATTACAGAGAGAGAGACAGACAGAGAGAGAGAGATAATGAAAGAAAACCAGTCAGGTAGCACTAGCTGTGAACAGCTTTGTGTAATGAGAATGTGTGAAGTTTGCTATGTTCTCTCTCTTCCTCAGGATGGACATGGGCAGAATGAGGATTGCTCTAGAACCAGCGTGAGTTCTCATTTACTTTCCTGTCTGTGTTTGGGGGGTTTATTTAAGAACAGTCACTGGATTATTAAAAGCTGCATACCATAACCAGTGGTGGTCGGCTGCCTTTGAACCATCAGTAGTAGGTTCACGTGAAGTACTTTACAAATAATGAGTAGATGAGGCTGAGTGTGGTGTTCCATAGCTGTAATCCGTGTGATGGGGGAGCACAGCCTATCTAAGAAATACAACTAAAGTAAAAAGGGCCGTGGCTCAAGTGATAGTGTGCCTCTCTAACAAGAGTCAGGCCCTGAGTTCAAACCCCAGCATCACTAAGTAAAAGAAAAAGAAATAATACCTGGCTAATGGGAGATAAACCACACATGTGGGAGACAAGAAGATCGTGAGTGCAAGGATAGCCCATATGACATTGTGTTTGAGACACTACCTCAAAAACAAAAATCAAAATGCAAATAAAAGTCTGGGAGGTGGCTCATAGATCAAGTGGAAGAGTCTTGGTTTAACATGCATGTGTTTGTGAGTTGAATCCCAAGTACTGCAAACAACAAACCCTAAAATCAAACTTGAAGAAGATAGTGGAATAGATAAATAAATATTCAAATTATCCGTATATAAATTAAGAACAATAAGGTTCTTGGAAGGTTTTTTTTGTACCAGTCTTGGGGCTTGAACTCAGTGCCTAGGCACTGTCCCTGAGCTTTTATGCTCAAAGCTAGCACTCTACCACTTGAATCACAGCTCCATTTCCAGCTTTTTGGTACTTAGGCAGAGATTTGAGTCTCACAGACTTTCCTGCCTAGGCTGGCTTTAAACAAAAATTCTCAGATCTCAGCCTCCAGAGTAGCTAGGGTCACTGGTATAAGCCTGTAAAGTTTTTTTTTAATCTTAGCATTTATAATTAACGACCCAGTCATTAGGCATAGGAGAAACAATTAGGGAGAGGCTCACTCCTACATCAGTGATGACCATCGGTGTATATGCGTCACAGATGATGAATTTGTGTGGAATTCTAAAGCCATCCACATCAATCCCATTCTTTGTTTGAAATGATCCTGCCAGACAAGTGTGAGCAATAGGGATTGTATTTTGTTTTCATTTACATATTCATTTTATGCTATTTTACAGTTGGATCATTGCGGTGATATATGCATTTATGTGAATTATTCAGTCATGTACAAAGGTAAGGTATAGTTGCAGGTATTAAAAACATTGGTGTCCCAATGGATGTAGATGTTACGTAGCTGTAACCTCATGGCCGAGTATAATGAACAGAAAATAGTCACTCTCTAGGTCAAGGAAAGTTGCCAGTTGTTCATTTTGTTCTTTTACAAAAATAAGTAAATACAACAAATGTCTTCTAAGTGATGACCTTCTAAATGAGTAACGAAAGGAAAGATGACAAGCAAGAATCAAGGAAGACTGTCTGGTTTTAATGATCTGATTTTCTCTGTCATCCCCAGCTGGGATGCGTTGAGCTGATTTATGCATTTTCTCCATGGTTACATCTCTGTTAGGAGAGAGAAAATCAATGTGAATAATAATCAGAGTTATTATTTTGAGTGTTTTTAAAAGGTATTTGCTCCATTATTAAAACAGTATTAAATATAACCAAAGAAGGTGAAATGTGCCAATGTTAAATATCAAGTTGATGTTATTACATTGAGGAATTCAAGTGTGAAACTCAGAGCTTGGTTTATAAAAGAAATATGGACCCTGTGGAGATGATTATGTAGATGGATCTTCATGATATTCAAGAGTCTCCTTTTGTAGATTTATGTGCATTTCATTACCAGCGTATTAATCGATAATGTATTTGACAAGACATAGAGAGGGCAATCCAGGACCCACAAGGACAGCGGATGGCGTGGGAGTAATGAGGGGTGAACGCCATGTGTCTGGGACACTTTGTGTCCAGCATAGATAGAACCTGGACCAGTCCCCTTTGTGAATGGATCTGATAGATGCACGTCAGGGCATATATGATTCGTGTTTCCTACCTTCCTGTTGATGAATTAAACACACACACACACACACACACACACACACACAGCCTAGTGAGAGACCAGCAGCCGGGTAAAATGGTCCAATTGAAAAGAAATGAAGGAGGAGAGACATTGTCTGTTCCTAAAATATATAACGAGCATATTATAGAAAAGGACTCGGTTATAAGTTAATCAAATGTATTCAGATTGAACGAAGGACGACAGACAGTGATAGATTATAGCCATTGTTCTTGGTCAATTGCAAGCATTAAGCTTATTTTATCAGAACACCAGCATTAAGCTGATTTAAGAGTTCTGCTAGGAAAAGACTTCCTGTGATGGCACAGTGTTAGGAAAGAGGCCACAATGATTAATAGCCACAATACATATTCTATTTTGGGGAGCTGATTTAGAGGTATGCAAAGAATTCCTAAATATTTTTAATGAATCAAAATTAACTACCACCGAGTGACAAATACTAGCTTGCTTTGGTGGTTTGTTTAGGGTAATTTCCTCTCTTTTTATACTTGTATTTTTGTGTATGAAGAATAATCCCATGAAGCCAACCATAACTAGTATAATTTGACATTAAGAAGAATCATCACACTTAGGAATGCAACTATGAAAGGCTGAAGACAGATAATGCGAGATTTGTCAGTAGATTAATGACAGCTATGTTGATAGGATGCCATCCTAGGTATCTCACAAAGGCATATGTTCTTGCCGGGTGTTTGGTGAGTCATAGGCATTTAGAAATCTTATTAATGAATTAATGGATCAGTCAATAAATGTGAGAGATAAGGGTGAGGAAGACTTGGCTGCTCCTAGGCCAGTGATGACCGCTACCAGTGTGATGAGTGTTAGATCATGAATACCACGTGCTTAGAACTCAGGGGTATGGGAAGAAAGATAGAGGAAGAGTCAGGGTCGATGAAGGAATGTGTTATTTTTCACCCTCTGCTGTGTGCTGTAATCCTCAAGGTGGAGGTCCCGTGGCTGTCCGCTGCCTGGGTCAGACATAAGGCAGCTTGGAACCTGTGTGAGTAGATTGTTTTTTTATCGCATTATTAAAAACTGCAAAGCATAATGAATTCGGGCCTAGTGTAACTGATGCCAAATGAAATTAGTGTGAAGTACATATTAAATTAAGTATATGTGGTAAACTGCAACTCAATGCATGTGAGAAGGTTCTTTACACAGATGAGGAACACTGAGGCTTTCTCTTGGATTTTTGTGAATGATATTGATTTAAACTAATATTAATGAATTAATGGATGAGACGAAAAAGGAAGGAGAAAGAGAGGCTAGTATTGTGCCAATGAGGACCACATTGGCATTTGAGTTGCAGTTAATGAGTACATATTTAGAATTCTGAAGTCCACGGCAATGAGGGCTGGACTTTGTGTTCATGCATTTCATGCCATCGTTAAAGCTGAGTCGATGAACAAATCAAGAACACAAATACTGCCAGGCACTGGTGACTCACATCTGTAATCCTGGCTACTCAGGAGGCTGAGATCTGAGGATCCCAGTTCGACACTAGCTGGCATAGAAAAGTCCATGAGACTCATATCTCTCATCAACCAGCAAAAAGCCAGAAACGGAAGTGTAGTTCAAGCAGTAGAGTGTCAGCCTTGAGAAAAAAAAAAAAAAAGCAAGAGCAAACGACCCTGAGTTCAAGCCTCAGTATCAGCGTGCATGCAAGTGTGTGGGCGTGTACACACACACACACACATACACACACACACACAAACACCCACACACACATCAGCTAGGTGAAGAGGTGAAGCATTATCCAATTATGAAAATACAAAGCAAGGCAAGAAATCCCATCTGTGCTTTGAAAACATGGAGTCCAAAGAGAAATGGATGAGGTAGTCAGTATAAATTCTAAGAAATATTTCTGCTCTGGGCTAGTGGGAAGTTTGAAGATGTTCACTTTGTAAGACAGGAATATGAACAACTTGTCAGCAGTGACCACCTGCGTGAATGTCTAAATGAAAGACACAGGACAAAGGTCAGAGCGCAATTCCCCATCATCTGCTGCTTCTGAATTCCTCAGAATGACGCGGTGTGGACCCACGCTTTCTGAACGGTCCCTGGCAGAGCCGGGGCCAGACTGCGTAATCGCCAATGATCTTCTCTCTGCTGGAGTCACTTTTTGAAAGGTTTTAGTGGAATATTAATATCAAGTCAAGAAAGCTAAACAATCCAATTTTATTATCAGATGGTAGAAGCATTATAGTGACAGTTCCTTAAATGAAAAACTAAGGGCAGTGGTGAAGGTATTTAGTCTCTGTCTAATTGACTCTGTGCGTGCATGCTCAGGATCCTAACACCCATTATTCTTGCATTCTGTGATTTATGTGTTTCCACATTCAATAATCAATGCTCCAAAGTAGATGGCAATATGGGAAGGAGAGGGAGGTGGGAAATAAGTTGGATCAGAGCACATTTTACCTATTTACATATCTATATATACACACATATAAAATAATATATAATACTATACATAAAATAATAATAAATACACAAAAATAGGTGGTAAGGGACCCACTAAATATTGTTACAAGGAGAGGCAGGAGGTTTAAGAGAGTGGAATATACATGTAAACTGGCACGTTGAAACCCCTTGTACACTACTTAAAGCCTGGGTCATGATGGTTAATGTGAAGGAAACCCGTCTGAACCTGGATGTCTGGCCTGTAAGCCAGCAGCTCCTTTCTCAGGGAACACACACAGTGGCCCATGCACCTGGTCCTTGCCACTTGGTTCAATGGTTTGCATCCAACATTACAATTTAATCAATGAAGGCCTCAATCAACTAATGAAGTATTACTTCATTTTTTAAAAGTTATGTCAAGAAATTCTACTGATGCATTTTGAAAACACAGAAGTCCCATTTGAAATAAATGTCTCCTAGCTTTCCTCCTTGGCTGGGGGTTGCTTAGGGAGAACACATTTAAAGCAATGTTTTTGCTCGGGTGCATGCCAATATACATATTTTTCAGACGTAAGAAAATACATTCTTGGTTAAAGATGACATCAGTATTTCCTGTATTGTTACTCTGCATTTGTAGGTGTTACATTTTGCGGTCTGTCCCCTGCTGTGCTCGTGGGCCCTTTGAGCTGCGGTAGTTCCCCCACACTCTGGGCTGTTGCTCTGAAATGGTGTGTATGTGACTGTTCATCTTTCATCTTGTCCATGTGAGTTGCTCAGCATTATTCACTGTGTTTTGAAGACATAATCATGAGACCTGCATTTACCAGTATCTATAGCAATTAAGCAGGGTCTTTAGACGGAGTGATGCATACATAAAAATCTATCGACTATAAATAAGAGCTCCATACTGATCTGATCATCATTCTGGGCATATCTCATAGGAAGCTATCTTTTGTTGAGTATGCCCAAATCACTGGCTTTAAAAGATCATTATTGGTGAATTAGTGGTCAGTCAACACAGTAGATAAGAAAGAGGAGGGTCTGGACCCTCCTGGACCAATGATGACCCCCACTAGTATATGAATCTCAGATGGTAAGTCCTACTTGTTATCCACCATGAAAGAAAAGAGGAAGAGCTGGGGTCTCTGGAGGAGTGTGTCATTTTTTACCCTTTGCTCTGTTTCTCCTCAGGATGGAAGCCCCCGAGGGGGCTGGCAGGTTTTCCACGGGCCGTTCCGTCGCGCCATTGTTCCAGCTCTCCTGGGGCCTGTGTGAGTAGAGTTCCTGTTCTGGCTTAGGGGATTTGTTAAAGATTATTTATTGCATTATTAAAAATGGGAAATGTAATCGCATTAGGCCAAGTGTGACGAATGATACAGATGGAATTAATTTGCAGTCACATTTTCAATTATGTCTGTAGGAAAAACTGAGAGTCATGATCGCAGAGCACACATTTATGCGAAATGGTTCTTTATCCAGATGAGGACTATCTGGGGCTTTTGTGAATGATAGTGTTTTAAATTGTTATTAGTGTATTTGTGAATTAATGATTGTGTCAGGAGACAATGCAACAAGGACCCAGGGCCTGGTGGTGAGGAGGGTCCCAGGTGGTGCAAAGAGAACTGTGTGGTTCATCCCGCAGACCTGTGGTCTTCATTCTCACGGATCAGTGAGCAAACCAGGAGGAGAAACAGAAACACATCCAGATAAGTGAGGGGAAGCACTGCCCAGTGACAAAAATAGGCGATTAGGCAAGAAAACCCATTAAACACACTAAATCTCAGAGAGGAGTAAATGGCCCATGACTGTTAACTTTCTGTCTAAGAATCATGTACTCAGTTTAAATTATAGACAATGATTGTGTTCTGGAGAAAGGTCACAGTCATTCATTTCAGATGAAAATGAATATTCTCCAAGTAGCAATTGCCTACATAACTGTCCAAATGAAAGATTCCGGCCAAGGGTCAACAAGCAACGTCTCGTTCTTTGTCATCTGCTCTGCACTGCCCTGTGCCCCTCAGCACACATCCGTTCTTCACGCTCGCCAGCCCGGCACTTCCACCAGCCTTCAGACCCACGCACACAGAAGGAAGCCAGTGTTCTTCTCGCTGTGGTGGTCCATTTTAAAAGCAAGATGGTTTAAAAAAAGCATGATCTATAATCAAAATATCTGTAGTGATCATTACAGAACAATACAAATTTGAACCCCGGAGGACGGTCCTAGATAGGTACTTAGTCTCTGATAAAATGAACCCAAAGATGGGCCTCAAACGTCCTCACGGCGATTACTCTTGTGTTTTGTGGTCTGCAGGTTCTCTTTCTGAATTAGCTGATCAATAGACTGACTTATGAACATGAAGTGACAGGGCTCCTTCTGGATGAAGGAGCGCAGCTGCTCACGTGACTGCTGGGTCATGAGCACTGGGACTGAAGATCTGAGGGCCAGCATAGATGGAATCCTGACCTGGCTCCTCTTTGTGAAGGGGTCCTCTGTGCAGATGTCAGATCCTTCCAGAAAGATCTGGAAGATCTGGAAGGATCTTTCTGCTCATGTCTGTAGAAAGGATCACTAAAAGATTCAAGGACTGATGACTGAATACATGTACAAAGGAACAGAGGTGAAGAGAGTATAGCACCATTTATTACTAAAACAAATAGCTTGCAAAATACTCAATCATACCTCGATTTGGTGTTTTCATCTTGTGTTAAGGGTAACACAGACAGCAATAGAGAGTTGTTACTCTTGCTCCTGACCAATTGCAAGTTTGGAGTTTTTGGTTAACAGTAAAAGAAATCTTATAATCATTCATTAGAAGCCTAAAAAATGAATGAATGATTGTAAATAGGGATCACTAGAGAGAATGTTTTTGAATTATTGCAAAGGTGATGTCCAGAGGGGTTACAGTTATAGAAGTCAGGTATTGAGTACATTTCTTTTTGAACAGTGTCACCTCTTCCCTAGTTTTCTCCCAGTTTTTCCCTCCCAACCCCGTCCCTCACAATTTGTATAGCTCATTTTCAACATGGTGTCTAATGAGTATCGCTGCTGCATTTGTTCACCTTCTCTCACACCATTCCCATGGGGAGAACTTCTTTTTCTCACTCTCTCTGCTCCCATGGAAGCCTCTGGGTGACCGAGGACACCAGCGCCACCCTCAGGACCAGTGAGGGAGTTGTAATGGTGTTCTCTCATGCTTCTCTTCTTTTGACTACATTCATAATAACATTAAAATTAGCTCAGTTAAGTGCCGGTGGCTCACACTTAGAATCCTAGCTTCTCAGGAGACTGAGATCTGACGATTAAGGCTCAAAGCTAGACTGGGTGGGAAAGTCCATGAGACTCTTTAATTAAGCACCAAAAACAAAAATGCCATAAGTGGAGCTGTGGCTCAAATGATAGAGTGCTAGTCTTGAGCACAAAAGCCCAGGGACAGCATCCAGGCACCAAGTTCAAGCCCCAGGACTGACACACAAAAAAATGATCAAATCTATCATAGAGGAGGGCTAACCCAAGATGTTCGTTGTAGTTATTAATATTTAAATAAGACGTGAGTAGACATTATCACAGAAATCTCCTGTTAAGAATGTATGAGGCAGCGCACGCTCGTTAACTGCGTTTGGTCCCTGCACAGCGTCGCTTACGTACGTTGTACAGTATAACCAAACACATCTGTCAAGCGAAGGAATTACAAGAATAAACAATTCACCATGGCTCAAGTATCAATATTATAGCACTGTGGATTTAGTGTATCATATGCAATGTAAATATTGATTAATGAAAAGATAATGAATGCCTGTTGATAAGGAGTCTGTCTATGGATGTGACCTATATTGAAAGAGCTTGCTTTTCTCCTAAACCATCGATTATTATTACCATTGGAATACTAATTTAGGCAGTAAATATATATAGGAACAAATGGAGGAGTGACCCAGTGATGCA